CCCTTTTAATGCTGCCCAAAGTGATGGTCATCACTGCATCTCGTGGAAGGGAGTCCCATAGTTTCATTATGTGCTGTGTGAAGAAATGCTGCATTTTATTTGTTCTGAATCTTCCACCAATTGACCATTGGGTTCAAATATCTTGGAGGAGGGAGAAAAATGTTTCCCCTTCCGCTTTCTGCACACCACATGCATAATTCTGTACACCTCGATCATGTCTTTCCTTACTCACCTTTTCTCTAAGCCAAGCAATCACAGCTGTGGTAACCTTTTCTCCCTGGGGAACTACTCTGGTCTTTTTTTTCCAATCCACAACAAATCTTTTTAGGTGCAATGACCAGAACTGTGCACAGAATTCTAAGAGGGGCTTGTATAAGGGCAGGGCAATACTGACAATTTTATTGTCAGTTTCTTTCCTGTTTATTTATTTATTTATTTATTTATTTCCATTTCTACGCCACCCCATAACCCGAAGGTTCTCTGGGCAGCTTACAAATGCTAAAACTGCATACATGGAAAACAATAAAACAATTAATAATCAGATAGAATAGATAAACAATAAAATAATAGATAACACCTCATAATAAAATATACCCACACACAGCAAATAAGTACAACCCATAAATTAACCAAAAATTAAATTAAAATAAATTATCCATAACATGATATAAAAGAGTTAAATTTAATTAACCAAAAACTTGTTTAAATTGGTATGTTGTTGGTTTTTTGTAAGCTTTCCAGAGACTGTGGTATGAGATGGCATATAAAAACTTTAACTCAATCAATCAATCAGAAGTTTTCACCTGGCACCTAAAAGAAAGAACAGTCATGACCTGGATCGGTTCTTCTCACTGAGTCTAGCTGGGGTGGAGGATGACTGACTGGCCATGGAGATGGAGAACACTGTAGACTAATAGCCCAAGTCCAGATAGCGGACCAGGCTTTGTGCCTTGGAAGTGACTGTCCCCATTTATATAGGATGACAGAGGTACAGGAGATGCTGGTCAGAGAGTTCACTAGAGGAACCATGCAGGTAGGGCAAGTGCAACACTTTCTCTATTTCTTAAATAACTTTGTTAATATTAAATGTTCTGCAAATAAGCATACCAGCCTTACACAGCTGATTTCTAAGCAGAGTCAGTGCTTTCTGTTGGATACATTGGCCTGAACATTGCGCTAAAATAGGGTTCACTGGGACATGAATGAGCTTTGTTTCTGCCTGGGCATGCGCACTCACCCACTTTTCCTTCTTCCTGCTTCAAGTGTGGTTTCAAGAAGATTGGCATCTTTCACTTCTTTTTTTAAAAAATGAGACCACAATTTGATGTTTGATATTGTGGTCTAGCAAAAACTGCTTGAACTGACAATCTGGTTGATCCCAATTAGCAAATAAGATGTGGAGAAGGGCAATTAAATCAATCCACTTTCCTTTGAGGAAAGGCTGCAATGTTTGGGGTTGATTAGTTTAAAAAAGGAGATTAATAGGATGCAGAATAGAGGTGTTAAAAATTATTCATTGCACAACTGCATAGAAAGAAGTTTTTCTTAAGCACTCATTACACTAGGACCTGTGGTCATCCCATGAAGTTGAATGGTGAGAGTTGTTGTTGTTGTTGTTGTTGTTGTTAAAGTTGTTATTCAGCTTCTATACCACACCTGTAGCCCATGGAACTCCCTGGGTGGTTTACTTTTCCAATGATAAAAGGAAATATACAAGTGCAAATACATTGGGATTCCAAATACATTTCACATTACATTTCAAATACATCTCCAAAATTCAGGCCCTGGTTGTGAAAATGGAACAATAAATGGGGAGAGCCAGTGTAGTGTATGGTTAAGAGTGAGGGACTGAGGATCCGGGAGCTCCAAGTTCTAGTCTCTGCTCAGCCATGGAGCCCACTGGTGACTTTGGGGCCGTCACAGACTCTCAGCCCAGCCTGCCTCAAAGGGTGGCTGCTGTGAGGATAAGACTGAGAAGAGGAGGAGGAGAATTGTGTAAGCTGCCTAGAATTCCTTGGAAGGAAAAAAGTTGGGATATAAATATAATTGGCTACCAATTATAGACTAGTTCTTGGGCAAGGTGCTCGAGTGGGTGGTGGCCGGATTGTTAAACCATCCTGAGTGGGTGGTGGCTGCCCCTTAAGATCTGGGGCAGACGCCCTTCTCCAGGAGCCCTCCTTGAAGGTTGTTAGGAGGATGACTACCCAGAGAAGGGCCTTCTCTGTGGTGGGGCCCCGATTGTGGAATACGGTCCCCAGAAAAGTTCGCCTGGTGCTGTCACTTTATTCTTTTTGGCACCAGGCTAAAACCTTTTTATCTTCCCAATGTTTTAGGCTTTGACTGTTTTTAATATGGGTGTTATTGTTGGTTGGTTAAGAATTTGACTAGGCTGCTGTGTTTTATTCTGTTCTGCCTAATCGTTAAACCATCCCAAGACTACAGTAAGGGATGGTCTAGAAAAGTTTTAAACAAACAAACAAACAAACAAACAATAAATAAAATATAGGAAACAAACAGGCACAACTCTGCTTTGCTGTAAATTAATGCAGTTTAGTTGTCAGATTTGCATCAGTGTTCAGGAAACAAATGAAGTGGTAGTCATGGGAAAACTGATTAAAATCAACTCCCTCACTGGCCGGGGGAGAGTTGCTTTGTTTTGCTTTATCAGGTTCCTCCTCCCCACGTCACATATCGCATCTTTTCCTTCAGGCAAATTCTCCGCAGAGAAAGCACAAAACCTCCATGTATGTGTCACGTGCGGATTGTTTGAGCAGGCATGCGTTTTGCTCTATGTGCACGTGGTGTGTGAAACAAACACACATCAGAGTGTGATATTTTCTTGCTTCTTGCAGGTAATCCAAGAAGAACAATCTCTCAACCCGTGTTCAATGGCGGGGTGAAAGAGCCATACGGCACCCTTGTCCCAGTTCATATCTTGATCATTCTACCAGTTCAGTACCGGGTAAAATCTGAGCTCTGGCCACCCAGTTGGAGAGGGAAAAGGCCACAAGTGTCAATGTTTGCTTGATGGCAGGATACACAACACATTTCCAGGAACTGACAAACAGAAATACTGCCCCTCTGTGTACCTAATTAGATTTTTTGTTCCCTTGATTGTGAAGCGTATTCATAGAAGTTCAGTGAGACATGAGCACAGTCTCACCATGGATACTTGCTGGTGCCACTGTCTTTAGGAGAGTAAAAACAGATCTGGCAGGTAGGTGGCACTGCAATGCCTTTTCTGAAATATTGTTCTTACCGAATGTCTGTGTGGGAAAGCTCTGCATTTATTCTGCCTCTTGGAATGGAGCCGTAATTCTGAAACTGTGGACATGTCCCCCACCCCTAGGGGCCCATGGGGACAGGAAGCTGTGTGTGGACAGAGGGGGACAATCCCACCTGCCGAGTGCTTCCCTGCTGCAAATTCTCCTCTTCTCCTTAAACGACTTATCATACAATGGCGTTCTCTTAAACACAGTTGCCTGTATCGTGTGGTCAACCCATTCGCTCCTGTTCTAAATCAATAACTGGAAAAGCCAGATGTAGTAGGTGTATCGCATGTCCTGGTCAATATCCTGTTTATCGAATTCAAAGAATACTAAAATAGCCAGGAGGCAGATATTTCCACTGCAGAAGTCCACAGAGATCCACTACAGAAGTCAGACTGAGATGTCCTAGACCAGACATGCTATCATAACAATCCTAGCTTCAAAAAACAGCCTCATCTTTTTTAAAATTATTCTTATTATTTTGCTTTTGGGCTAATTCCTAGAAAAACAAAGGCCATTGCCTCTGCCACCTCTCCAGCAGGCTTTGAGGGTAGGACAGTGAATAGAATTGGACCCCACCATTACACCCACAAAAATTGTTGGAGTCCCTCCAGCCTAAATTCATACACCAATAATTATAATTATATTTGACTATGTGTTATGTCTAGGGTGGCCATGAAACCTGATTTACAGAGGCAGCCTTTTCTAAAGCTGTTCTGAATTTGAAGGGAAGTTCAGTCCATCCAGCTGAAAGCTAAAGAACCACAAGAAGTTGGCCATCAAAACACAACATCTGTATCAATCAGATACAAAAGTAATCTGGTTGCAGTTCTTTCTGCCATGGTGAGTTGTATTGCACTGATGTTTAAAATAGGATTATTTATACAATTACATATGTATCGATGTAAACTTGATGCAAATCTGTATCCTCCTTAGGTGATACATTTCTTCTTTCCTGGTGATGTGTAAGTGGTCACTGTGCTCACGGTCCAAAGGCATATTATTTTCATCATTACTCGGGGAGCAGTTGAAAACAGCCTTTGTATCCTTTTTAAAAGGCTTTCCAATATAAACACCCCCATTCAGAACTGACTCATCGGATCAAAGAATATAAAAGGCCTGAAAAACGAAGCCATCTTTTTAGCACAGTGAATTGCTCCTCTGTGTCAGAAACTTTTCAGTATCCACAGCCTTGTTGGGCTCATGCCAGCAGGGTGGAAGTGCGGGAGGATGAACATTTGTCCTCTTCTTTCCTTTTCTGGAAGGGCTTTCAACCAATTCCCCTCCAATCGCAAGCAATGGCAGGAAATTGTTTGCATCAGCTTTAGTTGGGTGGATTGGAGGAAAGGAAATGGAGGCTTTAGATTTGGAGAATGTCAAGTTCCCCTAAATTGCCCGCACTATGCCAATATCTGCCCCATTTTACTTTTTTCCCAACATTGGCATCTTAATCTTGAGAAAATAAAGAAAATGGAAGTTTCTATAGGATCCTGAGGTCCGATGTTCTTCTCTGAGGGTGGACCCCCCTCTCTGCCATTGGAGGAGAGAGCTGAGCAGCTCTATGGTTCTTGGACAACCTGCCAGAGACCAGAGGATTGCATAATATTTCAAGCAACGGGTTTTCCAGATGGATTCTCTCTCTTTTTTGCAATTGGTATTTTTGATCTCAAATCCAATGAAGATATGCTGAGTACACTAAAAACCTCTGTTTTGATAATTAGAAGCTACGCATTTTTTAATCATGGAAGATAACTTTATTAAATATTCTACATTCTCAGTTTGTCAGATGTTTTGGAAATCACAAAGCCATGTTCAAATGCAAGATGGCTTCATACAGAATACCATCAATAACATGCTTCTGTCCTCTAACAAGTTCATGAGGAGAACCTGTGGTATCATGGCCATGGAGAGAAGAGCAGTGTCCCAACACCCTTCTGGTGGGCTTGTCGTGAGCGGAGCCGGCTGGAGCCGGGGGTCAGACTAGATGGCCCAGGAGGCCCCTTCTGGCTCGCTTTCTTTCTATGTTTCTATGTTCTTCTCCCTCTCTTCCTCCAAACTTCTGCTTTCCTAATTTAGTCATTTCCTCCTTGTTATTTGAACTTTGTCTGACATGTGGCACATATAACCATTGATGTCTCTTGGAGGCTGGGGCAAAGGAGAAGAGAGTCTGGGCAGGCAAAAGTGCATTCAGGGTGAATACTGGGGAACTCATGTGCTAAAAGACTCTGCTGGGAGAATGGAGGCTAAGGTTTATCTTAGAGCTGTTATTCAGGAGTCAAAAAATTCTCCAATCTCCAGTCCATGTCTTTTTCTGGTTTCTTGGAAGAATCCTAATTGATTGACAAGGGGTAGACAAAAGCTTTTGTCTTCTGGTTGTAGACATACAAACACACAGGTATACATTGACACTCACCCCCATATACTTCCTTGTGGAAACACACACCACACATTACAGTGCAGTGTCTGACACAAAAATTCAAGTACTCACAACTGGAGTAAACTGCATAGAAAACCACCTTGCCCAGACTGAGATAACGTGCCTGTTAGATGCAACAGTTTCAAGCCATCCGTGAACCATCTTGGGTCATCCTTCTCTACATTCAGTTTCATAAGAAAGCAGTCCTGGTGCAGGAAAGGGCACATCAGAAAACGGCATGGGGTGCAAAGGGCTACATTCTCTTCTGCACTCTAGCTCCTTAAACAAAGGGATTTGCCTCTAGCTCCTTAAACAAAGGGATTCATAGATCTCTCTTGGGAAGGATGTTGGCCAACCAGAGTCTTCGGCAGCAGGACAGGCTAACAAAGGATGAAGTATCATGAGGTGGGCTCAGATTCCTAGAGGAGAAAGACAAATGAAAGTCAGAAGATTATTTTATAATATTTACATATTATTTTATTATATGGCTCATCCGATGGTCCCTCCACATACCACTGTGATGGGGCTAAGAGAGTACCATGTGGTTGCGATTCTATGCAATTACAGCAGCCAACTGGAGAGCACCACAAATAGCTGTAGGAACCAAAGCTAATGCAGGACCCCCAAAGGCACCTCACCAGAGACCCTGGTGAGCCCACCCCAATAGCCTCCCATGTCAAAGCACCCACAGTAGCAAAGAAGGCACCCACCAAGTCCTGGGGGCAAGTTGCATTGTCATGAGCAGAGCTGGCTGGAGAGGAGGTCAGACGAGATGGACTGGGAGACCCCTTATGCCTCGCTCTGTTCCTATGTTTCTGTGTCCACATTCTTTCACACACAGCCATGCACAAGCAGGCTGTCAGGGAGGTCCAGCAGTGCCCCTCATCAAAAGCCATTTGCAGGATAGTGGTTAAGAGGTGTTGCTTGTTGCCACATGCGTCAGAGCATCCTCCCAGCCAGGCGCTTGAGTCCTTTGACAATGCAACAACATCGTCAGCTCTGGAAAGGAGGGCCTGACATGGTGCCATCCGTGCATTGCACAGCACAGTGCTTGGGAGCCAGCCTGCCTGCAGCCCGGGATCAGGTGACTTGAAAGACTGCCTTCTCCCACACAAGTCTGCTGAGTTCTCCAGCTCTTCTGGAGATGGCCTTCTCTTGAGCCCACCCCATTCAGGGATGCTTGGGTGGCAATCTGGGGGAAGGTCTTTTCAGCAGCCTCTCCAGGCTGAGCAACACTTATAGCATGAACTGGTTGCTGGCTCAGCAAGGCAGGGAAGGGTTCAGTGATAGAGGGGTAACTGTTAAAAGAGTCCTGTGGGATGCTGGCGCCAGCCAAGGTCGCAGGAGGATCGGCTGGACTCTTGGTATGCAGGAAGGAGAGATACTGTAAATCACACCCAAGGACTGGAGATTGCTGCGATAAGGCAGCAACCCTAACCCTAACCCTACACCTGGGATCAAGCGTGAGCCGTCATCTCCAGGGTCACCTGACCCATGTTAGGGGGAGTAAAGCTCAGGGCCTGAAGAGGCTCAGCCTTCTTCTTCAAGGAGAGACTCTGTTCTTGTTCGGACTCCGTGCTGAAGATTGCTGTGCTCCCCTGCCCCTGTGGCGGGACAGCACCTGTGCATGCAGCTGAGGCTAGGCTGAGCTTTGCTATTTTATGTCTGAGGGGGCCAGCAAGGCCTGGGAGTTGGGGAGTCTTTGGCTGGCTGTAAACTTGTTGCTGCTCTCCAAGTTCCCCTTCCCTTTCCCTTCTACCCCTTTTCATCTGTTTAGCTGTTTTAGTACCCTCCAACTCTATATTTTATCCTTTTAATAAATCCATTGGGGGATTTATTGGAATGCAATAAATCCCCCAATGCTTGGGTTGTCATGTGCTGAATCCTGTGTCTGGGGCAGGGCTCTGAGACCAGGAAAACACCAGGCAGGGTTTTTAGCCCAGCTGGCCAGGGGAGTGGGGAATCCTGGGTGGCTTTCCAGGACGACAATCTCCAAAGGGAGGCCACAGCCAGCCTCTCTGCGGTCCTTCTGCTAACAGGCAATGGCTGCTCTGTCCAAGAAGGCCTGTGGCCTATGAAGGCATCTGCTGTGTCGGGTGCTGTCATGAGTAGGTCTCCCTTTTTCTCTTTCCCGCAGTTCAAAGTGAAAGGCTTCAGAAATGCATTAAATTACTGAGTGAGGCTGGTTTTGCAACACAGGGTGAGTGATAATTAAGTTGCTAACAAGCAGTATCTATCAAAGCAGGAATCTCTCGGACTGGGAGACTTAAGTCTTGCCCAAGTCAAAGTTTGGTTCCAAACTGAATCCCGCTCCTCTCTTTCCTCTCTAAAGTGGTAGGTTCTGCCCTCAGGGAGGTTCAAGTCACTTATGGGCCGGATAATGGGAACACCGGGCATTGCTTAACTGGTCCCCTCATTTGGCTTGATGACGATCCATAGGGTTGATGGATTCACTCCCCTCCTCCTTTAATCCTCCCTGTGCTACAGTGTCTCCCTGAAAACCAGAGGTGGTCTGGTTTTCACTGGCCACATGGGACATGCCGTGGATTTCCTATCTTTTAATATATAGTGTAAAGGTTTGTTTACAAGCCTTACAAGCCTAATCATGTATGAAAATCCCTAAGCATTTTTATATATGTCTCCAGGTACATGCAATTTTGTATGCATAATGCCTAATATACACAAGTAGGGAAGCAAGGTTCCTAATTCAATGCATTTTAAATGTGAAATCCCCTGAAATATGCATAATTGCACAGAAATTTTGATTAGAGAACCCCATTACAAAACTTGCAGAAGTGTAAATTTCAAAGGAGAACCAAGTTTTAGTTTGAAAAGTAGTTCAAAAGTGCAAGATTTTCTAAAGTTGCATTAAATTTAAAATGCAAACTGAATGAATTAATCATTCATTCCTACCCTCAGCTCATGAGCTGGATTAGCTTACTTGCATCTGCCAATTGCTTCATCAGGCAACTCCAAAATTAGGGACAAAAGCCCTGCCTGTGTTAGGAGGCAGATCTTGTTGTAAGTCAGGGAACACCCTGCAAGCTTACTTTGCTCACACTTTGGCATCCTGTCTCATTATTCTAGGGTAAGTGTGCAGCAAGATCACACAGTAAGGCAGCAAGAGTGAGAGAGCACAAGAGAGGGAAAGAGCACATGAGATACAAAACCCCAAAGATGTGACGCAAGATACGTGGTGTGTAGGAAATAGGAGAAACAGTCAAATGGTGAGTCTTGGAGGAAATGATACAGTAAGAAAAAGGGTAGTGACAAAAAGATTTATGCTCAGTTACTAAAGCTCTTCTCCTTCACCACAGCCTCTAAAACCAACCTGAATGCACAGCTTGCTGGCCTCAGAGAAGCAACGCATGTACCCGATGGGTCCTTGCAGGAAGCCTCCCATTGGATGGCATTCATGGCTGCTAGTGAGCTTATAGCCAGGGCTGCCTAACCAAGTAGGGCAGGGCTGGTCCAAGATGTTCTGGTGCCTGATGCAATGGACCAGATGGTGGCCTCCAGCCCACATCCAGAAGCTAGCCTGCCTAGCCGCTGAATCTTCCTTTAACTCCAGTGTGGGACTGCTTCCTCCACCAGAACTGAGTCCGGGAGGAGGCATCCCCCAGGGAGTTCAGGAGGAATGGCTTGGGGTTCTGTCTGTTCAGCATCTGCCATCTGAGGCTGCCGCCTCCCTCTGCCTAACGGGAGATCTGGCCCTGGATCAGTGAAGGGAAGCAGGCTTAAATCCATACTCAGTTCTATGACAGTCTCTTGCAGACCTTTGCAACCTGGACATCTGGGAGCAGCTATCCATGACATCTGGCGAGCACCATGTTTTTGCAGGGCACCCCCCTCACTTTAAAAAAAAAAAAACACCTATATGTCACTGTGAAATATAAAATCCGCCCCAACCCCACAAAAGCCTCCTTTTATTTCACTGATACCTTTAAACCAGAGGCACATAATCTCTTCAACCTGATTGCACAAGCTCTGGGTGGTGGCAGGACCAAAGCAAAGGGATGTCATCTGAAATAGACAGTAAGCCGTCCAGAGGCTTTTGGTAGTGGGACAGCGTATAAAAACGTTAAATAAATAAATAAGAAGTGCCAGTCCATTAGGTATTCAGGCTCTTCCTGCCAGTCACTAAGCCTTGGAAGAGGCATTTCAACCTTTCAGCATGGGGAAAACACTGGACAAAACCTGGGCAACCACCACAGGGTTGACAGCCAAGGGGAAGGGGATCGGACCAAGAAAAGGAGGGGTGGCCACCTGGGAAAGCCAGAGGTCCAGACTGGCACCCAGCAGGAGGACTCCCAAGGAGTGAGCCCAGTCTGTGGCTGAATGCGGACTTGACTTTCTGGGCATTCTTTCTGTGCATTAATGAACAGTTGATGAAAAGGAAGTTGGTCGTTGGAGGAGCACTGGCAGCCAGGGTAGCGTGGGAGCGGCAGTGTTGGACTGGGGAGATCTGGGTTCTAGCCTCCCGCTGGACCATGAGGCTCACTGGATGACAGGGCTCAGCCTCACCTGCCTCACCAGGTTGTTGAGGTGAAGAGAACATGGAGTGGAGGAGGATTAGGGTGGCCATCTTGGGTCCCTTGTTGGAGGAGAAGAGGTGGAATGTAAAATAGTGATGGTGATGGTGATGTGGATATTGAAGAGGAGAACACTGAGGATGGGCTGATGGAAGGGCAGTCAGGGGCCTTTGGAGGTCCATCAAGGTTGCCGCTCACCCTTTCCCAGGCCAGCTGTTAGGGCAGCCTTCTTTGGAAGAGATGGGAGCAGACCTAGGAGGAGACGGAGGGCTGTTGCTTGCCCAGTCCCTGAGCCCATGACCAGGTGTCGGAAGAGACGAGCTACCACTGAGAGGGCTTGCCGAGGGCTTGCCAGCTAGCTCTCCTCCAGCGGGAGCCACCCTGAGGGTGGATCCTCCAGTGGAAATGAAAGGGAAGGAGTGGGGGGAAGTTTCCAGGTGGGGTTCAACTGTCTCTCGCTCTTTACATGAACAGAGGCTGTTGCTCAGCTTGCTCGCGGGCTTTAGAGCTGCACTGCCTTGTTAGCTGTGAAGCACCCATCAGGATCTGCATTCCAAAAGACTGTCTGGTGTTTTGAGGCCCAGAGCAAGAAAGGAAGGGCCAGGCTTATGACAACTCAGCACCAGCACCAGCACCACCATTTCCCTGAGCTTAACAGCTCCACCCTAAGTTACAGGCACATCAAGCAGTGCTGTCGGGCATGGAGGCTCGTCCTCTTTTCCCATGCCCAGCCCTCATCCCCTTTCTTCAGAAGCCATTACTCAGCCGCTAATTGCCTCCCCCGCTGCTTTTAGACCTCTGCGACGAATGCCTTTGAGGGCTACTGGCTTTCACACTGAGACTCTGGGGCCCAGGCACTCATGCAGACAAATCTATTCCCAGATTCAAGGTACCCCACTAGCTTGTTCTGAGGAAGGAGAAGGGGAGGCCACCCTCCAGAAGCAGCTGCTGGCAGGCAATGCAGTTTCAGGCCTCTAACCACACCCCCGCAGCCAGAAATGCTATTTGCTTGTGATCTTGCACAAGGTTATTAGTGCCCTGTGTGAAGCTGGCATAACAATGGTATCGGAGTTCAGGCAGTCAGGTAATCTCTGTTTTTTCAATCCCTGTGACACTGTCAATAAAGTAAAGGCAGAGCGGAAAGAGCCAGTTATCAGCAGGAGAGGGTCGTGGGACGGTATGCAGAGGTGACTCTGACCTTAGCTTGCGAAGCCCTGCCCTGCTTTTTCAGGCCCACAGCAAATAATAACTCGATTGTAGCCCGAATTCATGACTTTCTTCATATGATGCAGACCTGCTTGCCGTTGTTACTGCAGATGATGAATATGTATGGGAATAGGAGATCATAATGCAATTCCTGCAGCGTTAGGGAATTCTTGCTAAAGGAAGGAAACACTACATCCCCAACCTGTCAAAAAGCACAGAAGTGTTGCCCGTGATGGATCATTTGAAAAGGCAGTGACTAAAATGCAGTCACCTCCGGGATAGTTGCTCAACAGCCAAGTGACACCTTCGAGAGCAGGCAAAAGGGGAATTGTGGAGTTAGTTGGAAGGAACGGCTTGGCTGGAAATTTCGCAATGAAGTTTCTTCTCCACTAGAAATGCAGAAATGCTCTCTCTCGTGCACACGCACACATAGATACTCCAAATGAGGTACAGGACTTCCCTTTCCAAACAGCAGACCACAAGGACTCTCACGGGAAGCAAAAGTCCACCATACCAAGGCAGCAGGCCTCTCACGCGGTTTCACGCTGTGTTGCTCTGGAACATTCTGAGCACACCGAAATGGGGTGGCAAGATTTCTCCTTGACAACGTGACCTGTGATAATATACCTTGTTCCACAATGAATGCAAAGGCCATGTGGGGACCTGCACTGCCTAGTCAAGTATCTAACAATATTGCATCAGATTGGCCCTTAATCTAGACCTTGCTTAGGCTGTATCTTTGGGCTTGGTCCTTTTTGTGATGTGTAGGTAAAAATGTGGTGGGGACATCGTTTCTTCCTCCCCCATCACAATCTTAAGAGGCACATCCCGGCAGCAACGGATCCCTAGGAGCATAGGAAGAGCCTCGCTAGATCAGAGGAGGTCCATCTCATCCAGCATTCTAGTCAAACCATGGCCAACCAGCTGCTCAGGGAATACTTACAAGCAGCACACGAGGGCAACATACCCTCCTGTCCTTATTCCCAAGTGACTGGCATTCCCAGGTAACTGGGCCTACTTCAGTAGAGACGTCAGAGAAATCTACATCAGACTCTAATGAGTTTAGGGAAATGTGGAAAACATTCAGCACAAATGCAATTTCCCCCATTGGCTCAAGCATGAAAAATAAGCATTTTGGGGGGATTTGGGCATTTTGGAGGAATTTGTATATATTTTTGGAGTGCAAAGATCTGCAAGTGACTTTGTTTATGGACACATTTCTCCAAAGTACATTTTTGTCAATGAGCTTATGATGGCGCTTAAGGCCCCCAACGTTCCACAACATGGAGGCAGAATTGATGTTACAGTGTTTGTGGATCTCTGTCGGTCAGTAATCCTGGAGGTAACATGCAGCCATCGGCCTCCCTGAGTGCCATTTTCTGGCAGAAAGGTAGGATATAAGTTCAATGAATGAATAGTAGCCACTGACAGCCTTATCATTTGTGAATTTCATTCCCCTTTAAAATTATCCAAATAGGTGGCCATCACTACTTCTTGTGGCAATGAAGGCCATAGTTTCAGTGTGCTGTTGTGTGGAGAAGTATTTCCCCTATCTGTTCCGAATCTCTCACCCACCAACTTCCCGCAATAACTTCAGGTTCCATTAGTATTTTTATTAAGGAGGGACAGAAATGTCTCCCTCTCCACTTTCTCTGCACCATGTATAGTTTTGTCCACCTCCCTGAAGGTCTGCACAGTTTTCTATGCCTTTTTCTTAAGCTAAGCAATCCTAGCTATTGTAACCATTCCTGACAGGGGAGTGGCTCGTCTTCTGCTCGTTTTAGTTGTCCTTTTCTGCACTTTTCCCTGCTCTACAAGATCATTTTTAGGCACAGTGACCAGAACTGTACACCATAGTAGAGTGGTCACCCTCAGCATCATAAATATTCTTTTTTTAATGGAACCTACCATATTTTTCGCTCTATAAGACTCACTTTCCCCCCCTCAAAAGGGGAAATGTCTGTGCGTCTTACAGAGCAAATGTGTGTGTGCCCGATGCCCGGGATGCTGCCGGCCCGCCTGCACCACGTGGCACCACCTGGCCGGCACGCGCTCAGTGCGCCCTGCTCCGCCCCCCTCCTCCAGCGCAGGTGAGAGCAGTTAATCACAGGTCAGTGTGTGTTTTCAAATGGCAACCCATCTTTTAATGAAGCCCATGGGGAAGTGATGGGGAATGTGCCTGTGATTATCAGGAAGCTTTCCATGGATCCCTCCTCTAAAAACTAAGTGCGTTTTATGGTCAGGTGCATCTTATAGAGCGAAAAACACAGTATTTTCCTCTGTTCAGTGTTGGAGGCTAGTGAGAATAGGGCCATTTCTCTCCTGTCATGTAGCAAGAGAAAGGCTGTCGCTGCAGAGTGGGAAGTTCAGCCTTTGTCTGGGGAAGGTTTCTGGTGACTGTTCTTCATGGAAAACCTTTCAGGGAATGTTTCCAGCAAGTCCGCAAGCACGGAATGCAGGAGAACATCTGTGGTGTAGCTTTGTGGCCCTAATACAGCAATTCGCCCATGCAGGACAAAGTGACCCTTCACCAAGCTCTGATACTGACATGAAACTGGACTGCTCTGTCTTTCATCTTCTCACAGGCCTTGTCTTCCCTGCAAACAGGCTCCTGGGATTTCTCCACCAACACTTCGGCTTCAGGGGCACGCCTCCAAGGCATATGTTCAGCTTTCCACACTCTCTGGCACAGAAACACTCAGGATGAACAACAAGCCAACATAGAGATCATCTGTGGCAGCAGAAACTGCTTTTTAGTGTGATCCCCCCTGCTCATTGGCCTTCCTAAAACTTCCTAAAGCTAAAGGCCCTGTGTAGCTATTCTCTCTCTCTCTTTCTCTTTCTCTCTCTCTCCCCTTAATGGAATGTCTGTGGGGCGGTGAGGGGGAGGGATGCAGTGGTGGGAAAACACAGGCATGTTGGGAACAGAGGAGGTCATCATCTGCAGCCCCCTTAAATTATGTGGCAGGATGATTTTGCAAGAAAAACTTCATACTAGAGAGCATACAGGGGGAATCCACAAGATTCAGGGTGAAATTCCCACTTGGCCTTGAGGCTCACTGGGTGACTTTGGGCCAGTCACAGACTCTCAGTCTAACCTACCTCACAGGGTTCTTGTAGTGAGGATGAAATGGAGGTGTGTAACCCAGCTTGGGCTCCTCACAAGGCAGGGTATGAGTGCAATGCAATAGTAGTAGTAGTAATTATTATTATTGAAGGCAGCTTTGTCCACAAGAATGGTAGCCCTGCTATCACTATAAGAAGTGGGGGAGGGGAAGAGAGAAAGTCAGAATGATTTGGATCCACCTGAAAAAACATCAATATTGTTCCTCTTTTCCTTGAGCACAGCCTGCTCAAACCAGTGTAGGGTTCCCACAACCCTGTGCCTTTGACAGCAGGGTGACATATCCAACATGGCATCCAATATGGCATCCAACTGGGGCAGCTTTTGTGAACATGGAAATAGCAGGCAGCTGTAAGAGAGGCGTGGGCCCTCTCTCCAGTTGGGAAAAAAAAGAAGGATGTACCTTAATCCTGGGATTTCTACTTGCCACAGAACAAAGTGAATCCCTTTAGGGTATCTAGAGGACTTTTGATCTCTTTCACAATAGGACTTCCCAGGTACTCACCCAAGTGGTACTGTTTTTGATCTTTCCCCGGCAGGCATCTAACTGTGTCCCTCTGTTCTCCATGGCTTTTGGAACAGGACAGTCAACGTTATGTCACAATAACCATTGTTCATGCCCTGGCCGGCTTGCAGTTTAGAGACAAGGTCCAGAGCTGCAAAGGTTCAAATGAGGAGAAAGAAAGCGTGAGAGATCTGTCAGTGATCCAAAACAACATCCTTAGCAGATAGATAGATAGATATTTTCTTCAGGCTATTGCCCTGCTACATCTCAGCACGTAATGACAGCCTTTGCTCCATGAGCTCTGGTTTATGTTGCCCAGCTCCAGATTTGGAAAGAGCAGGGGAGGAAAATCAGAATTACCGCTCAGAGTCACTTCATCTGCAACCGGTAATGTAGTTACTTCTGCAGGGAAAATGAACATATTTCTCCTCATATCAGATGGCCAAAAGCAGTGCTCAGCCGATCAGCTCCAGGGTCAATCCAGACCAGTGCGGAGTCCACCCGGGTCTTGCTAGATTATAGCAAATCATCTGGGAGAGGGACCAAGAGTGCAGCCCAGACGGGCCACCCGCACCTTGTGCTCTCAAATTGTGATACCCCAACCATGCTTGCTTCTAGCTTACTTAGGGTGGCCATGCCTCTTCTTTACAGAGGGCTGTCCTCTGTTCAAAGGACTGACCTGCCTGGGTCTTCAGTAAACATGAAGTGCCATCAAAAGGAAGAGCTGGGCTCTGAGGCTGCCCCTCCTTGCTTCATGCTCGGATGGCAGACTGAGGGAGTCACCTCAACACATTCCTCCCTACCATATTTCTATTGAAATGATGGGATTTCTTTCTAAATTTAAATCTACACCCAGAGACACATGTATGTAAATTTTATGCAAATGGACGCCTTCTTTTGTACTTTTTTTGGAGGATAATTCTGGAGCCCAGATGGGGAGGGGAGATACAGCTGGGAGGTGGTGGCTTTGGGGCAACGGGCTCGGGCAAAGGACGGTCCCCACTCTCACCACCCCAGCTACTGATGCTGTTTCTTAAAAAATCGCCCCTCAGCCAAGCATGATACGAATTTACATCATGCCAGTTTGCCAGTGAATGGTATGAGGGATTTGTTTATTATACTTCTAATCTCCTCAATTGCCAGCATTCTCTGGTTGGTTTACAATCAGTCGAAAGACTAAAATGAGGTAGAAAAAGTGAGGGCAGTCTTATGCATGTTTAGATAGAAAACAAGGCCTACCACTCTCAGCATGTCCCAGTCATAGGACAGCATCCTTAAAAGGATATAAACTATCCAATGTAGTTAATGTATTGACTCTAAAAATACTGAAAAAAGATGCAAATTTGCAGTGGAGGAAAAACTCAGATAATTTAAGCTTGATCCAAAATTACCAGCAGAATTTTGACCTTTGCTAGCTGCTTTAAATGTGGGCTGTTACACTTGACTATGTGCAGTCTTGAGAGAGAGAGAGAGAGAGAGAGAGAGAGAGAGAGAGAGAGAGAGAGAGAGAGAGAGAGAGAGAGATTAAAAAGCTGAGAGTGCATGGGAAAGGAAGTAGGCCGAAGTGTTTCCCATTTGTCATTCCCTAGAATCTAAGCTCAGGAATTCTTCAGGGTACTCATACAAATCCTATAGCCTTAAAGTGTCCTAGGCTGGGTGGTCACTGACAGTCAAAAGAAGATACGCATCACCAAAAATGAAGATGAAGGAGGTGATAGATTTACATAAAATAAGTATATTGCAACTTATGCTCTCCCTCCTGTCTGAGGATTTCTCATCTTCAAACCAGGCTTGGGCTGGACAGCTCTGAACTGGGACCAAGGAAGGGGCAAATGGCAGTCCCAGTTCCAGAGTCCCCATCCTGCCTCCCTGCACCTGCAAATTACTTTTTAGAGATCCACCCCTGTGATTACCAATGGCACGAATAGGCATGGTGTCTAATTCATCCCTGGCGTGAAGGTATTGTTTTCCTTTAGAATTTGGCAGATTTAATGGGCCAGATTTGCACAGCTTCCCACAGCAGGCAGGAAGTTTTCAAAGAGCCCAGTTTTTATTTAAGCAACACACTCAGGCTATCCAAATTGCTCTGCAGGGCCAACTGATTCATCTGCAATCCTATAAACATTAGCTTAGGAATAAATCCCACTGATTTCAGTGAGAATTATTTCAGAGTTGATACACAGGAGTAGTATCATGATCCCTTTATTTAAGGGATAGCAACAAGGAACTCCATCTATAGACACTTGACCAAATACTAGGTGAAATTAGTGGGCACTGGGGACTGAGGGGAATTAATATTGCCATAACTCCCCCAACCCCAACAATACAACAAAGCATTGCATAGCATAAACAATACAAACTTTTTATTACTGTCAAAATAAAAAGTTATTTTTTATTTGCATTTCCCTGCTAGCCAATTGCCAAAGCTCGCTGAGTGTTCAGAACAAAATGATGCCAGTCTAGAAGCAGCCCGTGCCTGAAACCTCGCTGGAGTGCAGGCGTGACCCGCAATAAATTCCAGTGCGGTGGAAGGTCATCGAGATGACAGGAGAAAGGCGCAATGTTAACCTCTTTAGAAAGAAAGGCGCCCTGCAGAGTTGTAGGACTGCCTCGCAAGCGGTGCATGGATTTGCACTGAAAGCTCCGGGAGCCGTGCCACGTTAGGAGCCAAAGCAGCCCTGCCTCAGAAGTGACCGCGCGTGTCGAGCACAGCAACTCACGGCAATGAATGTAAATACCCAGGCTAGTCCTACCTCTTGTACTTTGTACGTTGTACGTTGATGCCCTGCCCATTAGTTTCAAGTTTATTGCTGCTGAACTGGTTAGCCTTTACAACATAGCACAAATAAAAATGAAACAAAAAAGAGAAAGTGTTATGATTAAACGAACAGTATAAAACAAAACAAAACAAGAGCAGCTCAAGGGATCTTTTATCCTCATAATGGTGGCAAGAAACAGCATTTGTTTTCCATGAATTCATTCTAATATTACCAACCACACGCACAGATGCCTGCATTATAGGTAGTGGGATAATCAACATTAAGTGCATATTTTCTTTCTTCCAAAGAAATGGGAAGTTTATTTTAATCTTGCAAGTATCTAATCATTTCAACTTAAGAGAAAATGGTCCAGAGTCTATTACACCCATTACTGTAGAGGCACTGGGTGTTTGGTCGCACATGCCTAATTTTAGTAATATACGGTTCAGATCCACAACGCAGAGGCTAGCTGACCTGAATGGTATTCACAAGAAGTTCTAAGCAGCAGATTGTTTGCTGTTTAGAAACATGAACCAGATGCCACAGGAATCTAAGTTAATCTAGAGACTTGCCTAAGGCATGACTCCTGGCAAAGACAGCTGGAGGCTACAGCCTCTCTCTACCTTTGCTTGTGGTGGCACTAGTGGGAATGGCTACTCTCTTTCGCCTCCCCTGTGTGTTGGCTTGCGCTATATAGCAATTAAGTGCACAGATCTGGGACTAGCAGCCAGTTTGAGTTCTTCTTTATCGCACAGCAAAGGAAGACTTTTAGAGGGTGGGAAAGCAGCATGTCTGGGAACTGCTGTCATCACAGAGTTTGACCCTTCCCTCTTGAAATCTCCCACATCCTGAGTCTTAAACCAGGAGGCTCCCCTACCATGCTAGGTCAGCGGCCTCGGCAATGAAACCGCTGATATACTATAACATTTTGTTGCAGGTCCTTACTTGCATGAACATCCCTCAATGGCTGCAAAATTGCAAAGTCAAGGAAGGAATCCAGCTCCATGTACCTACGATCTGCATGGAGTAAATACCATCTCTTGTATTCCATAAAGTAAACCACTTCTAGGCACATAGCCCGTCTATCAGCAATGATACAGTTTTTCTGTATATAGCCAGAGCACCGGGACTATTTGATTGCATGTGTAGGGCTTCAATCCCTCTTCAGCAAACCTTCTCTGTGAAGGCCTTGTGCAGGGGGTGGGAATAGTTCTGCTGTGCCCTGACTTTTCAGGAACACAATTGTCTTGCTGAAGCTACAGCAGGAAATCAGCTACAGAGGTATTCGTTTTGGCTCTTGAGTGGGTGGGATAGATTCCAAATATATAAAGGACCTTTGTAGGAATGCCTTCGTATGCTGAGCAAAGGTACATAAGCTCAGGCAAGGCAAGCTAGAAAGTTAGAAGACCCACCAGAAAGCATCTGCAAAGGACTGTAGATGAAGGCAGAATCAGAGTTTAACAGAAAACTTCAGCATGTTTTCCAAGGTAAGTCAGTGTGCCTAAAGTTAATAAAGGACATCAGATAGTAGGATCTAACTGACAACATGTTCCAAGAAACATGGGAGAGAAAAGCAAAATACCTAAAAGGCTGCAGACAGAAGGTCTTTCAAAAGGCTACAAGCGTGTAGCAGAATCTGGATTTATCCAGATCACGCCCAGCAAAATGCATCAAAATATAACTGATGTATGGAGGAGAGTAATCTGGTCTTGAAAAAAATGGCTTTGGGGGACTGCAACAGCCAACAAATCTGCATAAATCAGCTCACTATAATGTCTCAGTTGCAGCACTGCAGAGACTAAACCCAACTAACCAAAGGCATAAAAGTACCTGTCCAAGAAATTAAGTCCCAGGCTTGAGCTGGGTGTGCAGGGTATACATCCTACCAGCTTCTGCAGGGAGGCACCCTGGGCTCCTGCTTGAACATGGAAGGCTTTTTTTTATCATGTTTCTTTAATAAAACCTTATTAAAATTTGCTTGCTATATAGTCTGGGCATGAGGGTAAGCTAATCAACATGTCCAGTCTCTTTGCCCTACACAGGATCTGTTCTGCTGTATTAAGTTTAAAGAGCCAAAGACATTCTGAAACTAAGTTAAGAACATAAGCATATAACAAGTTCCATGCTGGATTAGACCAAGGTTCATCCAGTCTGTTTGCACAGAGGCCAAGCAGCTTCCCACAGGGTCCCACGAGCAGGCTTTGAGTACAGTAGCTCCCTCCTGCCCCGCTTCCTCAGTAAGTAGAGTACATAGGTTTGTTGCCTACATACAGCAGTTAATTCCCTTACACAAGAGGTGAAGAACCTGAGGCCCAAGGATGGAAACTGCCACTCTGGGGCATTCTAGAGGGTCATGTCCTCTGCCTGACCATGATCACCTCCCCCCAGTCACTGATCATTTGGTGGATTCCTGACTGTTGTGCAGTTTTTCTATATTCTAAAAGGTGAAAATGCTTTTCCTAAGACTTAGTTACTTTAAGTCACAATGTAGTGGCACTTTGTGGTGGTCCAGTCCTTTTTGCCTTTGGCTTCCCCCTTTTTTTCCCTTTGGTCCATCTGCCACTGCAGTGCGGCCCTGGCAATACTTTCAAAATGGAATTTGTCCTTCATGCTGAAGGAATTCAACACATCTGTCCTGAACCTTCTCCATTTCGTTAGTGAATTCGCCGAACCAGAATCTAACAGTAACCTAAGCGAACTGTTTGGAGCATTTGATTGAAATGGATGGCTGTCACCCCACATTGCAAGTTTCCTTTTATTTCTAAAACGGTCTAAGCTGTCTGAAGTTAACACAATCAAGATCTGTGCTTCAAATATGAGGCAGCACCAAACCTAGTTTTTGGTGCCCAAGTGACCTTGTATCAATGAAAGAGCTGAGAAATGCTTTTGCCTCACTATCTCACACCAGCGCTAGTTATGATGAATAGAAGAATTGATTCTTTCCTGGAACCACGGTAGCAATATTAAGCACTGTCTGCCAGGTGGAAAGTTTCTGTCCTGCTGATCAAGTTGCAGTGCTGGAATCAGATAAAAACTGGCTGTGGAACTTAAAAGTGCCCATGCAAAGTAATGCAAATATACCAGAGAAGGGCAAATTTGTAACTTTTGCATTATTTCCACATTCAACTTTAAAAAACCCTCAACTTCTTTGTCCTTTTCATGGTGAACTTTCCAATTTTTGTACACTCTTGTGAAACAAATAACCAAGTCAACTTATCTACCACCCATACCAGCTAAATTTGGTAAAAAGAGCTTTTCCTAGCATGGTAAGGATTGTGTTGCTGCATCTGCCTGCTGTATTTATAGCTGTTGCAAAGGAAAAGTCTGCCAGAAAAGAGGAACAGTGACCCTAATTCAACACTGCAAACATGGCTGAATTCATGGGAATTCAAGCACAGACTTTTAGAAACTTAGTCCCAAAAGCCCCCTCACGTGTTAGCATTTCAAGTTCTTTCTTTCTGTTTGTGAAGAAATTTGCAAATCTAGCAAGGTCATATAAAAAGCAACAAGTGCAACAACAACAAGCATCTCACCAATTCCTAAAATCTCAGTCTCTCTCAATCTCTCACTGTGTGTGTATGGGAGAGGGAGAGAGAGGGCAAGTGAGCGCTCTGCCAAGGATATATATCTATTTGCTTGGACTGTCAGTGAGTTGTTTTTTCTAAACGAAAACCTCAGTATCCAGGTTTTATTGCAGTGTTCGCACTTTGTGATAAATAAGTGGCTTTTGGTTTGCAGTTTGGGCACTCGGTCTCTAAAAGGGTCGCAATCACTGGACTAGAGCTTCCGCCTCCTGAAGAACTTGTGAATGCATCCCTGACCCATTCGTTTGCCCCACTGAATCAATATGGAAGTGAAAGAAGCAAAGATTTCTCAGCAGAGCCTGGCCTTGTGGTGGATAAGCACCTTGTCCAGGGACTGCATTTCATCCTTCTTTCTCTCTCCATTTCGTTCATGCATAATTCCCCCCACCCACACACATGCACACACAATGTGTGTGCGTGTGTAGAGTGAGGGAGAATGACCAAAAAGTTCAACTTATGCTATCCTTTGCCCTTCCTGCAAAATGTTGAAAAGGAATTGCACTCAGTGACTGAACACAAACTCCCAGTTTTCCAGTTAGTAAGTAAAAAATGTGCTTCAGTTTGAAAAAGGAGAGAAAGCTAGCTTCATGTTGTGTGGTCACCTGACTTTAGAGAGATGGAGTGAAACATTATATCCACAATGGACTATTTCTATACTTGCCTGGCACTATGGCAGGTACTATAGCGTGGCCCCTTCCCATGATTTTCCAGCCACATCCCAACCCTGAGAATAAGTTCCTGAGAGAAGATCACCAGCATGGTCACTCCAACGACAGTGCCTTCCGGTCCATGAGCAGTAGCAGCCCTGGCAGGAGGAGAGCAACTCTGGAGACTCATCCAGGATGTTCTGGCTTCAGAGAAATTCGGCAGCGTGTAAGAGCACTCCACCGGAGAGGCTAGGAACGGGCCTCTAGACACACAGTACAGTGTGTGTACTGTGCCTTTAATCATGCAATCTGAGTATCTTTGCATGGAACCACATCTAGTACTTTTACACCTGACATGGGGAGTTAACTTTAAAGATGCCCAGTTAAGCAGATGCACTGCTTACTGGTGACACGATCTTCCTTCCTGTCCATATCTGGCTTAGAGTGGCTCAGAACAGTGTGGTTGCTAAGAAACACTGAGTCATACCCAGAGTGAAGAATTTTTCTAAGAAAATATACTCATAGACTATATATTAAATGTAGATTATATTTTTATTATCATAGTATAGTAGAGTTGGAAGGGGCCATGAAGGCTATCAAGTCCAAACGGAAGGCAAATAGTTTTCGGGGACTTATGAGCATTCCTGGGCCCCTTCCCCTTGCAGGGAGGGGGTCTCTGAAGGCGATCACACCTCCTCTCCATGTGCTGCTCATTCAATTGGGCCTCCTGCCTGTGCCGATGCCTCACCCTGAGGTTGAGAGAAGGAGGATGTGGTCTTGCAGAATTCCTCATCCCCGGAGACCCAGAAACTGCCTGGCTCACTGAAGTGTCTGGCCTTGGAATAATAACCTCTGCCTCCTTCACCTCAGAATCTTAATCTAGCTCATCCTCCACAATCTCACTGTAATTTGTTTCACATTCCAATTGTGCATTGTCTGTAGCCAGCAGTTCCACGGGAACGATTGCCCTAAATGATCAGCCTTCTTACTCCCAAGAAAAGGACTCATTAGCAGCACAGCTTTCTGCCAGCACAGGTTCCGCCCTGCTGGGAGCAAACCATGCCCAGTCTCTTCACCTTTCGTTTTCCCATTTATACTTCAGGATGATATGTGGTGAGATGGAGTACTGGACTCTGATTGACCACAAGTCCCACCTCTTCATATCTATTTCTATCTTCCATTTTACAGCATTTAGTTATTGATTTCTCCTACTGACCTTTAGTCATTAAAAAAGCCATTATTCCCACTGCAGGAGAATGACCCTCTAGGTGGGTTTGCACAACACACACCACTGCGGTTACTTGTGCAGGATGGTCTGTTCCATAACCTGAACGTTGTCAAGGTATTTCAGCACGGTGTGTCTGGCTTTTAGAAACCACGGGGAGAAACAACTGTGGTAGTTTCTCAGTCTGTTCTGTGGTTTCCATGCTTCACCATGGTTTCTCCTTTCTCATCATGGTCCCCATGGTTCTGCTATGCAGCTGCCACAGGGTGTCTTAGAAAGAGTGGCAGATGCAGGAGCTGCTCCAGCCATCCAGTATGAGATTGGATTTCAGGCACAGTGACTGATAGGATATGTGCCAACAGTGGGAGGACTGATCAAGGAGGGTGGAAAACACACCAGTGCAGAAACCATTTGACCATTTGCCAGGCACATCCAGGTGGAAAAGCACACGTCATGGAAACCATGCAGGCTTGCTTGTGGTGAAGTCTGACCCCGACCTCTGCCTATGCTGTTGAGGCTTAACCATGAGGTGATATATCTTTCCATAGCAGCTAAGATTTGCATTCTCCTGGATTCCCGTTTTCTGTGATTCCTGTTCTCAGAGCCACTACCTCTTCCATTGACTACCCTGTTTTTATTTTTAGGCTAGAGCCTGTTCATTTAGAAAGGCTCCTGGATTTGGCTAAGCCAGACTTTGGTAAACAGCTTCCCACAAAGGAAGGGACTGCTTTGCATGTAGAAGATTCCAGGTTCAGACCCTGGCATTCCCAAGTGGAGCTAGGAAGCCATCTTGCCTGAGATCCGGGAGAGCCATGGCTGCCAGACAGTGCCAACAATACTGGACTCAATGGACCATCGGGCTGACTCAGTATAGGGCAGCTGCCTCTGCTCTATATTCTGATGTTCCCAGACATTAAGATAGTACTTGTATAGCTCATAGGTCAATATTTACATGAAATGGAAAAGAATAACCTAGGCTAGAATTTAATCAATGGACATAGTGGGAGTTTGTATTAATTAGTTAATTTGGCTGCCATGCAAAACACTGAATGCACAACATGTTATGTGTGTTTCTGAAAAGTACTGGCAGACAAAGACAGCAATAAGGCACAGTGTATTACAGTGCATCTGTCTTCATTTCCCTTTGCCAATCCATTTCAAATCCAAGTTGGCCACACATCATTCAGAATGGATTCATCAGTTACTCTGTCTTTCATAACTCACACTCAAGAACAATGATACAAAAACAGACCCCTGGTCTGCATTAGCGTAGCTGTTTGTGTATATGCTTTCTATGAATGAATATTTAGGAATCAAAGTGGACAAATAATTGTTGGACTAATTGGCTCTGACTTATTTCACTGCTCTTCACAAGTCCTCCGAAAAATACTTGGTTCTTAAATTTGGTTGTGAACTGAGTGCCACTTTTAACATTTTGCAAGAATCTGTCATATAAATAGAGGTCATTCGATTTCAGCTCTCTTCCCGCCGCCAGCACAATATCAAATATAATTCAGCATCAGACAAAGAAATCTTACCTTTCTATGCAGTCTTGGATGCAAGGGTTTTCCTTCCCATTCATTGTATGTAGATGCAAAGGTTTATCTTCCTGCTTGCCCGGGGCCTGATTACAGGTTTTGCCTCTCATCTCATATGTCAGAGCGACCTCTCTGGCATTTGGCCACACTCTCCGGCACTTGAGCAGCTGCTGATAAGCTGTCCGGAAGTCCCTGTTCAGTGCAGCATATAAGATCGGGTTCACAGCTGAGTTGGCATACCCAAGCCACAAGACAATGGTCATCAGCGTTTCACACACCTGACCCCTCATGCCTCGGTATGTGAACACTGTAAAATAAGGGAACCAGCAGACAATGAAGACTCCCATCACAGCCGCAAGCGTCACAGTGGCTTTGTGTTCCTTCACAGTGGGCAACGCATGTCTGACCGTCTTGCAGCAGCTGCTGCTGTTAATCCTCTTGGCTTGTTCCCTGGCTATTTTGAAGATCCGGTAGTATGTGACGGACATGATAAGCAGTGGGAGGTAGAACGTTAGCAAGCCATCCACCAGTACATATATGGGGTTGACCTCCAGCTTGCACTCCCTCTTCCCATTGGAAGAAAGTGTGTTCTGGATGGTTGTGCCGTTGGTGTTCCAGCCCAGGTGAATAGGTAGGAAGGAGACCATGAGCGACACCACCCAGATCAGGAACATGGCCACCGCCACCCGCAGAGGAGTGACCAGAGTGGTGTAGCGGAGAGGGGCCGTGATGGCGTAGTAGCGATCGAGGCTGATCATGAAGAGGTTGAGGATGGAGGCTGTGCACAGCATGACGTCCAGGCTGATGTAGATGTTGCAAAAAGTAGTTTCCAGGTGCCACTCGTGGGAGGAGATCTCATAGACGGCTGAAAAGGGGAGCACCAGCAGGCCCAGCAGCAGGTCCGTGCAGGCCAAGGAGACTATGAAATAGTTGGTCAGGCTGCGGAGCCGCCGGTTGAAATACACAGCCAGGCATACCATCACGTTGCCACAGACAGTCACCATAATGAGGACGGAGAGAACGACCCCGATCACCACCTTTTCCCAAAGGCAGAGGGAGCCGTCTGTCACGTTTGTGGAATTCATGCTCGTGTGGCTGAGGCCTATCACTTTTCCTCCATACAGGCTCACAGGCAAGATGGGCTTATGTGTGATTCGTTGAAGTGCTTGTCAGCTGCCTCATTGTGCCAGTCTTTCAGCAGGCCCATGTATCATGGCTAAGGGAATGTTTTCATTTGTTCTGAAAAGATGCCATGAATCTGACACTATCTCTTGTTAGAGTTCTAGAGAAAAGTAAGTATGTGAAAATAAATCTTCAAATCTAATTGCCTTCAGTTCCTCAGGAGGGACCCTTGATGGGCAGCTTGCTGCAGGAAGATCAGACTCTTGGTAGGCCTTGCTCTTAAAACTTGACAAATGTATAGAGGGTAGGTCTACCAACGGTTAATAGGTACAATGGTGAAATTAGAACCGATGTATTCAGAGACAGTAAACCTCTGAATAAAAATCCTGGGCACATGTGACAGAGGAAAGCTGTTGCCTTCATGACCTGCTTTGTAGACGTCCTGGAGGCATCTGCTCGCGTCCTGCTGGCAAAAGGAAGCTGGACTAAAGGGACTTTTCGTCTGATCCAGCTGGGCTCTTTTACATTTTTTACATTCGACCGGGTCCTGTGGGTTTTGCCTCAGCCGCTTCCTTTTCCTTGCTCTCTTTTTTCCTCCTTTCACAGAAAGCATTAGGATGCCTTAAATGACATGGTGTGTTAATGACTGTGTGTGTCTTCCCAGATCAGGCCAAAACGGGGTTGGGGAAGCCCCGGCTATCTCACTGCCCTCAGGCAAGGTCTCTGCATATATCCCTTGAGAGAAACCAGGAGGAGCTGAATAGAAGAGGGATGGCTATTATGCACTCTTGCTTGATCAGAATCTGGAAAGAATAATTAAGAGTCACGTGAAACATGCAGGACGTATGGGGCTGCAGGTCAGACCATGTGTCCATCTAGTCCAGAACTGCTGCTCTGCCTGGCAGCAGTTCTCTACGCCCTCAGGCAGAAAAGACCCTGCCTGCCCCGTCACCTGCCACCTGCACCTTCCAATTAGGGGGCCGGGGTTCCGGCATGCGGCACTGCATACACAAAGGCTGTGCTTGCCACTGAGCTGCATCTCCTCCTCCTGTGGCTTCTGGTCAACATGTGGCGCTTGGGCTGTGTGCTGTTCTCACCACTGCTGAGTTGCTGTGGTGGCAGTGGAAAAAACAGCATTCTTTTTTTTTTGATACAAAGCAAAGTGCACCTTGTCTGGAAGCAGGACTGCACTCCCAGAAAACTAGAGGGATGATTCCAGGAGCAACACTGGCTTTTTTATAACGCCAGTGCAGTGCAGCTGGCAGGGACAGGGGTGCTGCTCCCAGTAGGATGGGGCCACAGTCTCTGGACCCCTGGAAATTGCCCACTCCTGCCTTATGTCCTCAGACTGAGGTTAGGGATTTCCTTTGTGTGGTTGATCACTCACTGGAGGTTCACTGGTATCTGTAACATTTCCAGACTTCATACAGAGAATCTCTTATCTATTCATTTACCCAGTCAGTTCATGGTTTCAGGAATAGCCACATTGATCACTCCAGATAACATAGACTTGAAGTGGCTGAAGGCAGAGACAAAGAAATAGAGCCAGGAGCCTATTCAAAGCTATAAAGCTTCCTCCCTCAACATCTGGCCTGATTACTTTTTGGATAAGCTAAGCCACTGTGGAGAGCCAGTGTGGCACAGGGGTTGGAGAGTTGGACTGGGACTCTGGAGATCTGGGTTCTAGTCCCCGCTGGCTGCTGAGGGTCACTAAGTGACTTTGGACCCATCACTGAGTCTCAACCCGACCTACCTCATATGGTTTTTGTGAGGATAAAATGGGAAGAAATAGGCAGGGTATACATGTAATAATAAATAAAATAAGTGCAATAAGGGAGGAGAACAATGGGCAGGTTAAGACACGGAGCTTCTGTACAGCATGCCATTCTTCTCTTTTGCCTATAGGTCTTCTGGCAGCAGGGAGACAGCAGCAGTGCAAACTTTTGATAAGAGTGACTTTATGTACGTTCATTTTAATAATACAATTAGAACTCTTCATTAAACCTGACACTGAGAAACATGCAGGGAGATAAGATATAGTGCTACAAAGCAAAGGGAGGGAAAATAATATCAGCTGGAATCTGCAGTTTTTGAGATCCTTGCCTAACTAGCACAGTTTGTGGAACCCAGCCAGACCCCTGCATGAACCTGCGCTATGAGCAGCATGAACTGAGAACTGCCCAGGACACAAACCATGTTATCCAAAGAACATATACATGCTTCTGAATGAGTGGCTGCTGATTCCCTACCCAGGGATGGCCTTTCCCAAAAGTTTCCCCCCAAATCGCTCCCAGCTGTGGCAGCAGATGCAAACATGCCTCATGGTTTCTCTGGTAATTGCATAAGCCAAGGTGGACTCAAGTGGTGAAAATACGTATCAAACACACAACTCTCGAAATTAAATACAATATGCCGGCTACCATCTTTTAAAGCTGTACTTGTAGTGTGCAGATTCACCATGGAATTACATATGAAAATGTTAAATAAAGCTGTAAGAATGCAGGAACTAAGTAATCCCCACAACTGAAGTGAGACCCATCTCGTACGGTCTGTTTACCAGATAATTGGCTGTTGAGATCACTGTGGACAACCAACTAAATAAATAATCCAAATACCAAATAAATAATAAAATCTGATCCTTTAACATCCGGGCAATTTTCTGCTTTGCTACCATTTACACATCTGAAATGCCCTAAAGTCCCCCACCCCAAGATCAAGCAAACAGAATGATGTGGGTTTGTTTGGTTTTTGGAAAAATGTTTACTTCGGGGGAATGGAAATTTCCTCCTGTTTCTAATGAGACTTGCATTCCCATGACTCTGCATTGATCAGTTTAGGAAGAGAAGAAGACAGATATCGAGGAAACATAGCAAGTGCATCTCCAATGCACAGAAGGATCAGGGAATTACTCTGAAGGACTTGGTTGGATGATCATGTGAGCTAGACTACCAGGCAGCTTGGGATACGGGCACTGGGGATGGGAAGTGGCCGTATCCCCGCCTTTCTTATATTCATGGGAAGTTCTCGATGGACCCTGCACATACACTACTGAAAGCGTCCCAGCTCATTTCATAGGCTTTTTCATTAGGCTGAAATTCAACATGGCATGTGTATGCTTGTGTACTTAGCCAACAGCTGTTAAGAAGACATTCTCTGCCATCATCAAAGACTGAGATAAAAATAATAACTCACCAACTGTAAGAAGCAGTAGACGGGAGCAGCAGACATGCAGATGATGACAAAGTGCGTGTGTGTTACAGCTGCAATGGAAGCAAATCGTCAGATTATGAGGCATATAGAAAAGTGTGAATAAAAATAATCTTTCAAAAAGTACAGGCTGTGACCTCTTTTGCTCATCTGTTTTAAGAAAAGGCATCCTAACTAAAGCAGGTACAGGGAAAATAATTCCCAAAATGACCATGGGAAGAGTGAATTTATTAAGAAATGTAAGTATTTCATCCAGAACAAGAGTGGCCAACTGGTGACTCCCACCAGATTTAGCCAGCACAAGCTACAGTGAAGGATCAAGGAAGTTGTGGGCCAGAACATCTGGAGGGCCACAAGCTGTCCAACCATGATCTAGAAGGAGACAGCCAGGGGTACGATAGCATTTTGCTAACATGCAACCTGACGGCCAGCAGGTTTTGCCTGGAAAACAGGAGGAAGAAATCCAGAAAGAGAGGCAGAAATCACGATTAGTTCCCTGGTGCAACAGTTGTTGAAGCAAAGTTTCCCTTTTAGACATAATTTTGAAGGGTGTTTTAATATTCAGAATTCCAGAAAGAAAAAAGAAGGGCTTCTCTCCTCAGATCTTGAGGACCTCCCTTCCAGTGGAATATCAGATATCAAAACTATGCTTGGTGGAGTGCTCTTTTGCTAGATGTTGAAGAAAATCCCTTTGAGGGAAGGAAATTTTTCTCTACAGGTTTAATCCTCCTTGTTTTCTGGTGGCCTCAGTAATCCTTGATCTTCCTGAACATGGCCTAAAGCTTAGGGAGGCCTGGGCAGGATTAGCACCATGAAGTCAAAGGAGTGGGCTGGGTAGTCTATATGAACAGGGACCCTTTGTTGGTGTATGCAAGAGCAGCCTAATTAATCCAGGGACATGAAGATGGGACTAGGAAACAGCATCAGTTAAACTCTTTTCCGCTAGTCATTGCAAATCTTACAGAGACAAAAGTGTTGACAGGAAAGAGGCAGTGGTGCAACTCAGCAAAGAAGACAGTTGTTATTTCCATTTCACCTGTAGAGTTGATCTGATGGTTCAAAATCCAGTGGAGGCATATATTCTGTTATAGGCAGCACATCCTGTGGTATTTCCAGGCTTTAACCATGGTCCAAGGGTGCCCTAATCGCACTTCCGCCTTTGCCAAATTCCCTCCCCCAGAAATCCTCATACAGGTTGCTCTTTCCTCATTAGTAGTGGCGAAAGAGCTGCCTGTGTCAGCACTGCTGCACAGGTGGGTGTGCATTCACACGAACATCCTTCAGCCCTTCAGCCAGCCTGCATCCCATGCAGCTCTCGGAGTGGAGTGGATCATGCACCTCCGTCTTAGCAGAAGGCGAGTTTCCGTGAGCCTATTGCTCCAGTGATGTCAAGTCAGACACATTACAAGGTTGGTTATTACCATAAACCCTAGACATCAAGACATTCCTCCTACCACAGTGCTTCAGGTCAGCAAGGTCAGTATCCTGGAAACATTTTATCTGGACCATTAGAACATTAATGGCAAGTGAGAAGGCATCTCAGCTGGATCTCTCAGGTTATGGAATCAGGAAATCCATTTGCTCCAGAAGGTCAGCATATGCTGAGGTCAAAACGAAGAGCTAGTCCAGGTGGTGGTTGGACTGCCAGGCTGGAGCCTGGGAGAACTGTCCCCATCAGTTCAGGACTTCCTCTGGCTATAAGGTGACTAGAAACCCACTGCTGACTTTCAACTTTTCCTGCTTCACAGGGTTGTCGTCATGAGGGTAAAACAGAGTGGAGGAGCACTATGTAAGCTGCTTCGGGTTCCTTGCAAAAGGACAAAAGCAATAGGAATGTAATATAATAAAAATAATGATGGCAATGCAATGGCTTAGCCCTGATGGGGAGGCTGGTTGCTTTGCTTCTGCTGTTGTTGCTTTATTCTGTCTCTCTACTGCTGTAGTGGGTTGCCTTTTAAAGTGCTAACGTACTGTATTGTCTCTTCACTGCACACTAAATTTAGTGTATTAAGAAACTATCTTGTAGATTAACAGTTTAAGCAGAATCCAGTAAAATCAATAGATAAAAGCAAACATACATGGCAAAAAAGCCTTTTCTGTTTCTGTTTTTATAAAATGGTAGTCTAATAATATTTTTTAAGAATTTGAAAAAGAATGATGACATGTTATTTAAGGTTTCTTTCTTTCATCCCTGCATTTATTTTATAAAAATAGAAAATACAAAATATGTTATACACAATTTGCAACCATGCAATACATGCCACAAAAAGTCAAAAAGTCATGTAAAGGATAAAAGTGTTAATAATATTGTTCAGAAAGATTAAGACTCCAGCTGTGCTTCTGCTTGGGAATAAGCTTACTTTTGAGTAAACATGTATATGACTGCATCTAAATGAGCAATAGGTATCTATTTCAAAGTTAAATGTATTCTTTATACAGTCCACCAAAAGAAGGCACTTATTACCTCATGTTTTTTTTTCTAGCTCCGAAAAAGAGCGTTCACGGGAAAGGATTATTGTCCATGCTGTTTAGAGTACAAGGAGAACTTAAGAGGAAATATAAGAAAAAAGGGGGAAATCCAAAATGGAGTGGATTTAGCAGAAGGCGAGTGCGAGAATTTGCACTAGCATTTGCAAGTCTAGAGAGGAGGGTCAGTCCCTCGCCTGTACAAATATGAAAATAATCTATAGAACAACCTGCCCTAACGTGGCGCTCTACAGATGGACTTCCATGCCCATCAGCCCCGTTCACCATTCCCAACAGTCAAATATAACTGGTGTTTCAGTCCAAACTATTTGGAGAACTCCAAGTTGACAAAGGCCACACCAGAAGAAGAGCTAAGTACTCCAAAAATGTGTTGAGATTCTTTGTTAAACATTCATTTGTGCAGGGTTGAATTTCTACTCTTTTGTTTCATTTCTAAGGCTGTCTTTCTGAGATCAACCCGCTTCCTCCCACCAACAGAGCCCAAAACTCAGAGGCACTTCCAAAGGATCCATTGATCAGTACATGGAACCAAAACAAGGGAGAGAACTTGAGACATCTAAATGCCCACAAGAAGTGTTTTCAGTCGTCACAATGCACAAAGCAAGAGCCACATTAGTTGCAGTTCCTGATGACTGCTATATATATTTTCAAATTTAAATAAAGAACTTTTCCCTGTTCTCTTTTCCTGTGGGGTTTTTCTCTGGATCAGTGTTACCAGTTTTGTAATTAGTCAGCTTCCTGGTCAGACAATCTTGTGGGTGTATTGTGCCATGAAGTCTTTGACTTACGACAACCCTATGGATGAATGTGAGACATCACCTGTTCATAATGTTCACTTATTCATGAGCCTGGGCCAGCTTCTTGCAAAAGTGCTTGTGAGTTTGGAATTAATTGTGACCTTCTAAGCATGCCCAGCCTCTGTCTGAACAATGTTATTCCTTCCATGCGGATGCTGAGTTGGTTGGATTAACCCCTTCCTGGCCTATGCCGAACTGTGATGAAGTCCTTTTGTCCCACAACCACTCCTGACAGACCATTCTCCCACTTATTCTCCCTCCCTCCCTCCCTCCCTCCCTCCCTCCCACCGAGTGACTCATATTTAGAGGCACTGCTCATTCAATGCCTCCTTTTATTTTGTTGCTAAATGATTCTGTGCATGCCTTACTGCTGCTGCTGGAGTGTTTCTGCGTGAAGCCACTTGAAAGCAACCGACCTAGAAGGAGGCGCACAATGTAGCTACGCATGACGTCTCAACACACAATGCATCTCCAGGCGACAGCTCCTAAGATGCACTTTGATATTGTGTATGCGCAAAAGCTCATTTGCACAGAATGAGTTCGTGTGCACAGAGAACTCTGAGTTTGTTCAAATTCACAAAAATAGCCCATTCACTGGAGCTACGTTCTTCCATCTCTGTTATGGATCTGAAGGGAAAGTTTGAAACAAGAGCTAATGGGCTGCATAAAAAAGGGTGGTGACTGACACACTCCTGAAAGTATATCTGTCTTCCGACACAAAGGACTTTAGGGTGTTTCTTTAATCTCGTGGACATCAATGGTCAGGAGCCGAAAGGCCTGGGACGGAGAGATGATCAAAGTAGTAGGATAAAAAAGAATGCTAGGAAGACAGATGTGGAGCTGCTGGTCTCTTTTCCATTGTGGATGCTTCATAGAAAAAGTTTTGTATTATTTCTGAAAGATGGGAGCTGGATTTTTATAAAAGAAAATGGTCACAGCTCAGCGTACAGCCAGGCCACAGAAATGTTTGTTTTGGGAGTGAGAATTTCAGGCTGAGAGGGACGTACACAGGGATGGGCAGTGCTGCAGAACACAACCACAAAGCCATAGATTCAATCTACACATCTTCTCTCGAAAATAGGGGTGAAGCAGTTCTCCAGATTTAGGGATGGGGGGAGATTCACCTTCTCTGAGGGAACGTTCTAGCTGTTTGTATGAAAATGGCTTAAATCGTAGCTATGCCCCTTGACACAAAACTTGCAACTGTCAGGCTAGGGAGTTACAGTACATGAAAAATACTTCTTTCCTTCTCAGTTGGAACTGAAGGCAAAGGCAATGAAATAGGAGCATACGGTACCAGAGGCAGAAGGAGCTGAACACCCAGCATTTTCCAAGAAAGCACCCTCCCAGGTCCCAGAGATTCTGAGAAACCTCTTCTGATGTTCCTGAGCTTGGGACAGAGACATAGCAAAGAGCACCAAGCACTTGATCAGCGCTGCATTATATCACTTCAGCATCTCTTCCCCCAAGAAACTCGACGGAAGCATCCTCGTAAAAATAATTCACTGTGATTAGAAGTCACAAAGCTGCACTCCTCCTTTTCCTCCCCTTGCCCTGGCATTTTCTTTATATGGAGAGCTAATGGAGAAATGATCCAGTTTTGCAGTTACACAGTCAGCGTCTCTGTCTTTCCCTGAATCTCCACTTTGCTATCAAAACTGTAGGAGGCCTCAGCTTCAAATTTAAGCAGCTCTTCAATTTGGGCATCCCTTTGCTTCTTTTCAAGTCAGCCCAGATTCAGCCAGATCTGATGCGCACCACCTAATTCTCACATTTAAGTGTACCCTTAATGAGGAGGGTGTATTTTCAAAAGAGAATGGATTGTTTTCCGTTACCAAGTATCAGTAGAAGTTGAGGTAACACCTTGACAAAAAGTATATGCCACATTCCCAGCTTTTCTCATTAGAGAATAACAACCTATTCCTTCTTCCAAGGGGCTGAGATTTCAGGTGCAATAAATCTTCTGTTCACACCCACTCAGAAGTGTTAACATCACAGTAGTGACAGCAGAGGAACAATTTAGAACTTCCTGCCAGGTGGGAAACTGTGTGTGCCAAGGTTAGGGTACAATTTCTTGGTTTGATCTTAACTATTCCCAGAATAATTAAAATGCGGTATTTCTAGTCAACTGGCACCACCTGTCTCATAAAAAAGCTCCTTCCTATAGCAATGTGTTCATACCAGCTGCTGATCACAGCTTCTTTGGAGCACTTTTCCTAAGACAGTCAGGTTTTCCAATAGTTTTCCTATTTGGTCAATGTCTTTATAGGTTGGGAACACAACATATTTCACACATTTGCACAAACTGGGAGGGTCATCATCCAGACAACCTATAGCCACAGAAAAATCAACCAAGTCTGAAGATGGCCTCTCTATGGCAGAGACTCTGAGAATGACTAACCTTGTACAAAATGATCATAACTAAGGTGATGTCTCTGCCTTTTCCAGCTACCACTTTGACACACTGGGGAGAAAGAGTGGGGATGGTGAAATCAGTCCACCACAAGCGTTCACCTCTAAGTCCATTCTAATCCATTGCTCCATTAAGCAATCCCTGAAAATGTGCATTTAAATATACGTATATTTCATCATGCATTTGAAATGTAAAGATAAATGTATTTTCTGTTAAAATGTGTGTTTAAACAGTATGATTTGCTTAAACTACCAGGAACTATATTGCAATGTTTGGAGAAGAGCAAAACCTGCAGTGCTCTGATCCATATATTAGTCTGAGAAATATCAATCAGGTCCATTCATATTGGGTCAAATTCCTCAAGCAGGACAGGCATCAAGGACAGGCACAGAAGGGCACTTGCCGAGGCCCCAGACCTCAGGGATCCGCTGGCAAGAGCCTTCTGCACTTGTCCCTTCCCGTAATCAAAGCCACTTCCTTGCTCACTTCCTTTTCGCTCTGGCCCAGACAACGGAGGTGGCGAAAGAGAGCAGTGGTAGAGAACCTCAGTGGTTCTCTGCTTATGAGTCAACAGAGGGGGAAGCAATGAGGAGAAAGACAATGGGAAGCAATGGCAAATGGTGATAGAGGCGAGGAGAAGGTCAGCTCACTGAGGGAAGGGAGCCATTGAGGAGGTCATTCCCAAGGGCCCTCAGAATCTTGGAGATGGCACCGTCCTTGTAGCAAGACGATGGGCTGGAAATGTTTTACTTTGGAGAGAAGGAACTGTGTGGCATGGAAAGGTTCCTCACTGACTTCACTGCAGACCCTTTTGCTCTTTTGTGGTGCCCCAGTGATTGTGCTTGTCTGGAAGTCTAGATCTCTGCATAAGGCTGCACACCAGCATGTGAGCCTAACGGAGCCATTTCCGCAGTGCTCTTCTGCATATATCTGTGTCTGGCCTGTCATTAGTTAATCCCTGAAGGGGCCTTCCATTGGCAGTTGATGTTCAACTGACCCACTCATGATTTCAGGTACAGATGCAGTTCGAAAATGGCGCCACAGCTAGACTCCCACAAAGGGATGTAACACCATTGCAGTCCATGTGTAGTGGGCAGCTGAAGAGTAACCAGGACTGATTTGCTTTGGACCTTTCAGAAAGCCCTTGTAGCGGTCAATTTAATATATTCCATAATCTCAATTAATTTATGTAAAACATTTCTGTCTTTCGATGCAAAATTTCTAAGGCATATTGCATGCATCTCATTGCTCATATTTGATATTTCCCTCACTGCTGTTTGTCTTTCACATCTATGCAGGACTGCATATATTTTCTCTCATGATTCTGAATGATAGCTTTATAAATCAAGCATGCAGGATTTCATACTGGGATTATCAACTGGAACTGTCAGAAAATTGCATTTGGCAGTTTGACGGTCTCAGTTAAAATCTCCTTTTGTGGTTTAGATAAAACTATTTCCTATCACACCTTCTCTGCATCCTTTTCATAATGACTGACACATTTACTCTCCCCCCCACACCAGTACTCATTCTTATACAATCCCCAAGTAAGTAGCTAACATTGCTATATCTTTTGGCTCTCGATGGAATTAGAGCAAGGGGGTGGGAAGAGGAGGAGGAGGACATCTCAATTCATTTCCTGCTGTCTTTTTTCATAACAAGATCAATTGCTAATGTTTTAAAAACTACGCATCAAGAGGAATAAAATTCTTCATTTCCTATCTGTGTAATGAGAACATTAAGAGTTTCAGAATTCTGTGACACAGGATGAGTAGAGAAAACAAACAGGAGAAGAAAACTGAAACAGCATTACTAAGCAGCATCTGCTTAAGCATCCGTTATGCAGTCGGTGGTAAATTGACCCTTGATTTTAAAAAAGAGCCTTCAAAATACTTCTGGAGTTTCTGGACTGTAGGAACGAGCATAATCTATGCCACAAGTATCTTTAGTGTTCTGTTCATTTTTAAAGCTGTTTCTTTCATAAAGCTATGCCTGTCCATACCTTTCAGGCTCCCTCAGCTGAGGGAAGGGGTAGCCAGAGACCAGGCTTGTGGAGTGTGCTGCTGGTGCTTCTTTCTAAAAATTGGAACCTAAGAGTCACCAACCGGAGTCAGGCACAAAAGTAATAATAAAAATCCAAGAACTCAGAGGCAAGAAAGCTGTTCTGAGTAGCAAAACTGACTGGAGTTTGTGGCACTTCCACACATCCTCCCTCACCTCAAGCTTTGTTTCTTGATCATCGGCTGCAGATCTCCTAGAGATCTACCAGTACTTCCAGATCTACCTTAGGCTTACCTCTACCCAAGAGTATGCAAAAAGTAAAGGAAAGCTTACTAAGGTGTCTTCTATGTAGTCCCAAACGTCCTACTAAGGGATTTGGCTGTTGTTTCTGTATGTCAGGTTGCCGGGTAACTTTGCTGGGTTTTCCTATGTCATGCTGACCCTGCTTCTCAAGGTGCCTTCAGCCTGTTCCTTCCACATCTTGGCCCTCCAGGAAGGTGGCCGTACAATGCACAGCAGCGGCCCATTGTGTGATTCCATTTGCATACCATGTTGGGATTGGCACCATGCCTGAGTTAAAATCAAGTATGGTGCCCGCGAATTCTCTCAGCCAGCACATTCCATTGGATCGGAAGTGTAACTCTGGCTGTTAGCGCCCGTGCTTGCTGGGGTCCCAGCGCAGGGTTTTCTGGCCATCCCCAGGGTACCTTTTTAGGAATCTGAGAGATTACTATAAAATGGTGACCTGCACCTGTGGATGTGCGAGGAGTTCTTCTGAGTGGAGTCAGTGAGTGTTCCTCAGAGCAACATTGGTGTATGTGCTCTCTCCCCCCCCCCCAATGATCCTATGTGATAGAGAAAGAGAGAGAGAGAGAGACTGATTTTAAGGATCAGTGAGAATTTTGGCAATTTTTTTAAAAAACAAACTTCCAGATTTCTTTATAAAGATAAAAAAAGAGCTTGAGATATTAAACCGCTAAATAGTAATCAATGCTTCTCATAAAGGCATTCTGTGTGTGTGTGTGCGTGCGTGCACGCAAGCACACCCCCGCGCGCACACGTGTGCATGAGAGCGGGGGTGGGGGCTTCCAAAGATATCTATGCTGATTATTTTACAATTAGTCTGAAGTCACAAGTGTGAGATTTCTTTCATTCATGCTGTTGGCTACTAAGCAAGACAAGCGACACTCCGTGGAAACTTTTTATTTTGGGTATTTTGCTTTTTCAGCAGTGTCCCCACACCATAGGTGGGATAGGACCCTGCACAGCTGTCAGAAAGGACTGCTGTTGAAAGGAGACCCTGCAAGGCATCCACGCACATCCCGGTGCCCCAAAACCCCACGGACAGAACATGCACCAGAATTCCAGTTCCCTGTTGAAATAAAAAAGGCATCAAGTCAAGCGAGAAGAAAAGCAAGAGGCATTACCTGGGGAAAGGAGGGAACGAGGGCAAGGCAATCCGTCCCTCTCTCGCCTCGGATCCGCGTTCCTCCAAGTTTGGTTTCTGCTTCAGCACGCTGCTGAAATTGTAACGACACAGAGAGAAATTCTCAGGGCTGTTCGTGTGGAAGCTTCCTCCCCCTCGCTCCCGCCTCCCCTCCCACTTTCCCCACACATACGAAAGCAGTCAGTGAGGTGACTGATTGCGAAGGAAGCAGTGGGCAGAATCGGAATTTCCGAGGGCTGCTTTACAGCCCGGCAAGCCGAGCGTTTGGGCTGGGTGGTCCTTTGCTCTTCTCTAGCTGCATCCGCATGCAATACTTTGCAGAGAGCTAGCATTACGGGAATGGGGCTGCAGGGGGAGGCTGCCCTGGGCCATCTCTCTCTCTCTCTCTCTCTCTCTCTCTCTCTCTCTCTCTCTCTCTCTCTGTCTTCCCCCTCCCACTGGATTTTAAGGATAGAGCTATGTCCTAAGACTCCATGCCAGCAGGGGATAGAACATAACTCAAATCCCACTGCAGCCATATCAGCATAATGACAGCCCTTCATAGAGTGTTGCAAGATGTAGCTGCCAGTGTAATAACAGGGTCCAGACTGCCTGAACACATAAGGTCAATTCTGGCCCGCTTGCACTGGCTGCCTATATGCCTCCAAACCCAATTCCAGGTGTGGGTTTCAGCCTATAAAGCCCTACGCACCTGACAGGACATTTTCCCCAGTCACAATCTACCCAGGCAGTATGATCAGGAGCTGGGGCCTGCCTCTGATTGTCACCCCAAGAGAGCCTTGGTTAGTGGTCATAAGGAGAAGGGCCTTCTCAGTGGTGGCCCCCAGTTGCAGAACAAGCTGTCCACTGATATCTACTCAGTACCAATTTTATTATCTTTTCAGCTCCAGGTTACGATTGTCCCTTACCACAGGGCATTTAACCAGTTCTATTATATCGGGACTTTGTTAGCTACTTCAACATGTTCTATAGTTTAAGCTGCTGTAGCTTTTTAACATTTGTTTTCAATTTGTTTTTAGATTTTGGATAATAATCTTTTAATGAAGTGTTTACTGCTTTTTGCATTTTAAATTGTATTTCTTGTGTTGCAATCCACCCAGACAGCTTTGGCTTTTAGGTAGTAGAAACAAAACCAGTCAATACAAATAAATAAAGATCTGTGCAGCTAGAAACAGTTGACTGCAAGTATCTTGCTTCCAGAGGTAAAGGCAAAACGGCATCTTACCCACCCCATTGTACAGAAAGATACCAAGCAGACTGAAAGTCAAAATAAATCTGACTTCAGTGGGGCAGCATCCCCCAGGACACTTGAGGGAAACAGGATAAACTTGGGGGGTTGGTGAAGGGCAGACCAAATGTCACACACATCTCTGTCCTCCAAAACCTCTTCAGTTACCTCCCGTCACTTCAGGGTAGGTCTGCCCTTGCTCAAAAAAAGCAGATCCCCTTCTTCTGCAGCCCTGCACAATGTATCACAACACAGAAAGATAGGAGGTAGTGCATGGAGGACTAGGAGTTGTGTGATTTTGCTGCATTTGTGACTTTCCAAGTTTTGCATAAATTGGGGGCGAGTAGCATAACGCAAAAGCAAGAGGCTCCAGCAAACTAGCCCCCCATTGCAATCCATCCAAAGCAACTGCTGGAGAAAACAGCTCTTGGTGATCTTCATGCAGGATTGAAACTTTTTCATTCATGCTTCATCACATGGGCATGCTTAATGAGCACTCCATGGTGCTTTGTCATGTTCAGTGGTGCTTTATCATGGCAGCAATATATGCGATTACTATCTGTTTGTTTGTTCATTATATTTACTTCCTCTCTTGCGAGGAACTCGAATGGCTACACAATCCTCTTCCTGCCCATTGTATTGGTTCAAATATCAGAGGCAGGTTGGTCTGTGCAGCATCACTGGGGAACTGGGAAGTGTCCATCGAGATCATGACTTACTTGCCAGACTCCCATTGTGGGCATGTGGTCAACCATTGTACAGACGATGCAGGACAGAGTCAGCTTTGCTCTGCTCCACCACTGTTCTCCTTATGTAGAAAACAAAAACACATGGTTTCTGTGGTCCAGATTTTGGCTGAGGCAGGCCCTGGGAACGAGCACTCCGAAAACTGGAGCTCTACAGAAGAAGCACCAAGGGTGCAGAGATGCTGGTGAGATCACTCGAGCGTAGATGGGAATGCTCTCTTCACATTTCTTTTTCATTCTGAGATGAATAATTTCTGCTAGAAATGAGTCTAACGGGGGTTGGCAGGTCATAACTTATAGGCTGTGTGTGCCGATTCACAGCACCAGAATATCAAAGGAGTGGCTGATTTTCCTATTACATTTATCCTCAGCAACTGCCCCTCCAGTCAAGGGATTCAGTGGGATTCCTAGTTGCCGCCTTCTGCAGATTGGGTTAGACCTTGGTCTGGTGGCAAGGGCCCCATGGCCTTGGGGTCCCCAGTGACCACCTAGGGAGCAGTAAATGATGGAGGCTGGGTGGGAGAAGGCACCCAGCTTAGTTACACCATGAGTTGAGGGGTTCACCATGATGCATTCCCTGCATGCACCCTGGTCACTCTATTCCCTTTTTATGTTGTTTGTATAGCAGTATTTTTAATGTAACGCTTCTCAGCTGGCTTGGATTGCCTTCGAAAAAACAGGTAGACAATCAATCTTGTAATGGATTAATTCACCAACCAACCAAGACTTGCTTTTAGTTTATTTTTTTCCCCCGCGCAGAACAAATTTCCTCTTAGTCCCCTTCCGTTTGTGTAAAGAAATGTCATTCTAAAGACACCAAGACTACTTGTTGCTGCTGTGATCCTATATTAGGATCTACTATATTAGGATTGCTTTGTTTGTTCTACTATAGTTTGGGGTCAGTGCAGAGGAAACCTTCTCCCTCTCCCCTTCTTTCAGAGCTATATCTCCTCTTCAGAACCAAAAGGCAAGTCTGCAATGGAGTCTCTGACACCATGAGACAGATGTTAACTGATGAGCTCTCCAGACAAGGGCAGCAACAAAGCTCCTTGCTTAAAAACATAATGAAAGTATGTTTTAGGTATCACCTAAAAAGGAAAGGTTCTTTTCATGCAGATCAGGAAATTTAGACTCATTGCCTACATTTGCAGACATTGACACAACTGAGGTTTCTAAGGGACATAGCAAACATACATCTTCTATCAATCAGGACAACACATTTCACTGAAAAAACCATTCCTGGCTTTTTAGCAGCCGTGCAGCACAGAGAAAAATGTGGGCAGAAATGGGCCTCTTATACCAGCATGAAGAGCATTTGCAATAAGCCAGGATCCTCCAGAGTGAAGGTGGCCGCTGTCAGGCCCTCACTGATGACTGATGGCCACATTATTGTATTGTCGCTGTCACCACATTTGCCTAAGCCTGATGAGACAAGTCTAGTCCAGCCTAACTGAATTAGTACCCTGCCCACTTACAAACACTCTATGTCTTCTGGCTGGTTTTCCCAAGGAAGATCTGTATGTCTGCAGGTTGGAAGCCTTTCCTCAGAAACATTGATTAGGACCAAGGTAGGCAACTCAGTACCCTCCAGAATTTTGAACTAAAGTTCAAGTAATCCCTGACCCTTGGTCATGCCAGCTACAGTTTATGTGGTTTGTAGCCTGAGGCATCTAGGGGATATCAGGGTGCCCAGCCCTGGATGAGAGGTTTTCCAACTCTGTCCCAACTCCTCACCCACGCCTTTCATGTGTAGCTGTAGCCTGGTCTGTATCTGTAGCCAGGTGAGGCAACCAAGACCTGAGAGGGTAGCGTCACTTGAACCACTTCCAAGTTTCAGAGGGCAGGGTCATATTTCTGAAGGCTCCTCCATGGAAAAGTCACCTTGCCAGCAGAAAACCAAACCAGCTTGCAGAGGGCCGTAGCCTGTGAGGACCAGGCCATGCGTGGCAGCAAGGAGGGGCAGAACGCTGGGTCCGGGGCATGAACTTGAGCTGAGTCCAGAGCTCGCTATGGGCCAGAGGGCTGGGGAAAGTCAGCGGGTCCGGGTCAACGGCACGGGCGAAAGCAGCCCAAGTTTGGCACGCACAGAAAGAGAGAGAGTCCAAAGTCAGTTTGCTGGAGAGACACTGATGTGAGGGTTATAGCAGGCTGGAGCAAGGCAGCGACTATTAGGAAGAACGATGGGAAGAGGAGGAAGGGCACTGGTTGGACCGAGGTGGGAACGGACTTGGACAAGGCAGGAACAAACAGGGACCAGAGTACAAGAAGTCACCAGGGCACCTGCGCTGTTGTGGCAAGGAGCAGCACTGCAGAGGAGCCTTTCCGGCTGGTCTTCAGGGTCTCCAGCTGCATTGCGCTCCTGGTTCTGTGAGCACTTGCAGGATTCTCCAGGCCCTGATCCTGGCATAGCCAAACATATCTCCCTCAGGTGCCAGTGCTTTATTCAGGGTGAGGGGACATGAAATGGCACCCCCACCCCCCACAAACATGCCATTGGAAGTGGGGGACGCCATCCTAACAATCTTAGGGAGCGACTACTTTGTATGCCATGTGTTGACCCAAGAGGCAGGGCCCACTGAGTTCAAGCTGGGCACCCTCGCAAGCAAAGGCGCGTGAGGGAGGGCAGCAGGAGGGCAGCACCGCAACCCCTCGTGGGATCTGCATCCTCGCCTGTGCAGCTGAAGTGCACTCAGCCACTGGCCTTTGCAATGCCTGAGTAGCAATAAGAACCAACCTCCGGTGCTCAGCACCACAGCATCGGAGCTGATTTCTCCATAGATAAACAGTAGCACAGGGCTGCCTTTAGGAAGAGTGAGACTGTGGGATTCCAGCAGCAGTGCTTTCAAGTACGGTGTATTCAACAGCCCTTGACTCACTCCAGGCTCTAGCTGTCATCCTTCAGCATAAGCATGACTAACTGCCGCACGGCACGGAGCTGAAGCCCCTGCTGGATGCAGCCCTGCACTGCGCGATGGCTGCCTCGTCTCAGCCTTTCTCCTTGGAGCTGGCGGGCTGACAAACTGCTGGGTAGCATAAATCGCTTTCCCTATGGCGTGTCACGCCAGGTCTGCGCTAGCAGGCAGGCACGTGCTGGGACGTTAGGACAGACTGATTGAC